CCTGGTTAGCTTCATTTTCTTGAATAAGAGTTCCCAAATAATAGTAAGCTTCAAGAGTTTTGATTTGATTTTCTCTTGACTTAGCATGAGTAGAAAGTTTTTTCAAAATATTGTTAAGTTTTTCCTTTTAAGTTGTTCCTTTGAAAGGTAAGATTCGAGAGGCTTTTTGAGGTTCAAAAGTTTGCATAAGGTCTTCCTTTATTTTTACAAGTGAATTTGTTAATTTAATTCTTCTTCTAAGATAGGAATTGAATTATTAATTGGTTCATCCAGACTTCTAATAAGTTGATCGATTTCATTTAAAGCTGTTTCTTCAAGCTGTGATAAAATATCGATAACTTGGTCTGATACTTGGTCATCTCATAGTATTACATTTTGGGAGAAGATTTCTAAATTATATTGAGCAGCAGGGTCTTGCCTCCAAATGGAAATAAAATTTTGTAGGGCCTGAATAGTATTAGGTAGCAGAATAATAGTATTCATTTTTAAATAGCCAAATTATTAATTTAGAGAAATTTGCATGATTAGGTTGTCTATATATATATTTAAAGTAATACAAGATTTTCAAAATGTTTTTCATTGTGAGCAATAATTCAAACTACTAATTTAATAATGAAAGTTCTTCACAATTATTACATAATTATATGTTATAAAACCAGTTCTCAATTTGCTAATATAGACAAAATTTTAATAATTAGATTAATTTAATTTTATAAGTCAAATTAAAGTAAGTTGAATTTTATTTCACTCCCTTCCAAATTAAATTTCTTCCAGAAATTTGCTAAGTTTCAACAACAACTATTAGTTCCCAAGTCTGTTTCTCATAATATTTTGCTAATTAGTCACTATTATAATAGTTTTGTAAGATTTTTCCTTCTTTATTTCATAATTTATAAGCATCATTTCCTAATTTCTTGTGAATTATGAATGGTCCTAGTTATTTATTCTTAACTTTTGCTGATCTTGACATTTTTAGTTCCTTCTGTTAGATCTATACTTTGTTACCTACTTCGAATTCTTGTACTTTAACTTTTGCATCAAAGTATTGTTTCTGTTTCTGTTGAGACTTATCAGTATTGTTTCTTGCATTCTCTTACCATTGGGGCAATTTGTCTATTAGTTCATAAGCTCTATGCAGAATACTGTCTTGTAAGTTAATATCTTCGCTACTTTCCATTAGTAGTTCAACAAATATTAAAGCTTCAATCAGCAGTGTAGCTTGTCAACCATAAATAAGTTGAAATGGAGTATATCCAGTAGTAGCATGTTTCTTTGTTCGATATGCTAATAATATAGCAGGAATATGAATGTCCCAATCATCTGTTCCTTTTACTTTAGCAAGTGATTCACAGAGTGTTCAGTTAAATCTTTCAACTATGCTATTTGTTTGTGAATGGTATGATGATAAAAATTTATATTTGATTAGAAACTTTTCATATAATATGTGGATAGTTTCACTAATAAAGTTTTGTTCTTGATCAGATAAGATAATTTTTGGGATTCCATGTCTACAAACTATTTCTTCAAAAATAAATTGTGCTAGCATAGTAGCACTAGCATCAGGCACAGCTCGGGCTTCTGGCCATCGTGTTAGGTATTCAGTAGCAACAATTATATAGCGATTATTTTGTTTAGTAAGAGGAAGAGGTCCTACTAAATCAATACCAAGTCATTCAAAGGCTTGTTCTATTTGAATCAGATGAAGAGGTTCCTTTCTTCGTCCTTTTTGTCATTGTTGACATTCTGTACAAGTATGCACATATTCTTGCACATCTCTATACATTTGGTCCCAATAATATCGTTCAACTATCTTATAATACATGGCATCTGTTTCTAAATATCTGGCAGTAGGATGTTTATGCATTATGTATAGGATAGGTTCTATTTCAGTTCATTTAATAACTCTAAGAGGATAAGTAGGATCTTTTCTATTCTTTTTATATAATAGTCCATGCTTTGTTTCGAAATGTCTAGCTTGTCTAATTAGTTGTTTTTCTTCTATGTCTGTTAACTCTTTAGGTAATATGTCTGATTTTAAATAATTATATAAGTTAACATATTGATCTAAATTCATTGGAATGGTATGGGTGATGTCTGAGTTGGCAGCCTTGAGAGTGCATCTACATTAGAATGAACTCAGCCTGGTTTATGAATAATTTCCAAATTATAAGGTTGTAATTTAAGTATTTATCTTCCAATTCGTCCTTTAGGTTCAGCTGTTCTTAACCATTTAAGAGCATAATGATCAGTAATAAGAATAAACTTTGCAGTTCCTAGATATTTATGAAAATGTTTGATTGCCCAAACTATGGCAGCACATTCTAATTCAGTAGCACTATAGTTTATTTCTTCTTTTCGAAGGCTTTTACTTGCATAAGCAATTGGATGTTCTCTTCTATCTTTTCCTATTTGACTAAGTGTAGCACCAAAGCCATAATAAGAAGTATTGGTAGCTAATATGAAAGGGTACTTGAAATCAGGATAAGCTAGGATAGGAGCAATGGTTAGTCTTCTTTTTAATTCATCAAAGGCTTTTTGTTGTTCAGAGCACCATT